TATAATTATTTTTTAAATACATAAATATATATTAAAATTAGGAATTACATATTTTGAACTTTGGTTTAAATTGTGCACGAATTCAGTGAAATCATGTAAAGCAGGAAAGCAAACTATGCTAACACAGTTTATCAGAATAGCTCTGTTCCAGAAAAATAGTGTTTAGGTCACTTTTTCTTATGCAAAACATAAAGGATAACAATTTTTGCATAAGAAATTTTAGATCTATTATGCTATTTACAAAAGTAAAATTAAGGTTCAGTGGTCTCTGCTTACCCTCCAATTCCTAAAGTTGGATTCCACTCCACAGCACACAATGATGGGCCACTGGGCACATCGCTCGCTTCTCTCAGCGGAGCCAACTCTCCTTAACCAAGCCTAGTGTCGGGAAGATCAAGGAAGCTCTAAGTCTTCTTGGAAATTTTATTAGAATACTCAATGGTTGCATTAACATGTTTTACAAACGATATGGAAATTACCATATGAATATAAGTCATTTGATTATGGACTACTGTGGAAATGGCAGGACTTCTCAGAGAACTGAGAACCTGAGCAATCTTTGCCTAAGAAGGGTGATTTGAAAAGTTTTCATAAGATATTTGTTATAAGGGAAAACACAAAAATCCTATTTAAAAATCACACCGTTATTTTTTCAATTGTTTACCATTTTCCAGTTAATTTTAATCCACTCTAGCCCCCACACAACACCATGAAAAAGTTAATCTACAATTTACATATAGTTTATATACAATTTATATCATCAATTTCTCTTGCTTCAAGACATTTTTATCTAAGTTTTCTTCTCTTCAACTTTTCTAGCTCAACATTGAATTTATCACAATTTGAGGAAGGAATTAATGGCCCTAACCTACAGTATACCCGTCCTCCAGACGGCACTTTTAACATGAATCCTTCTCTCTGCAACTCCTGGCGACTCCTCATTTTTGCTGTATGCATCGTGGTACATGTCTTCAATACCTTTCCCTATTCCATGAGTTACTTAAAACTCTCCTAGGGGTAAGACTGGATGAATGAATCAAAGAATCTTCCATAAAACATTTCCACCGCTGCTCTTTGAGGGTACCTGATTAGGAAATGAAGTTATCATTTTTTGCACCATTGTTCTAATAATTATTCTAACACATGCTCAATTCTGTACACTATTCAGCCAATTCAGTGAGAGAAACATCAGGTATTTTATTCTGCATTAGGTAGGCAAACCTCCAGCCATGCTCTGATCTCCTGTGGCTTTGAGGGACCGTGGACTATCCACCTGGGGTATGTAACTTACCAAGGAAGACTCTTTCATATGAAACCATTACAGTCCTTCTGACTTAAGGCTCTGGCCATGGACAAGGGCTTCCACCTCTAACTACCAGCCATGTCCTTTCTCTGTCCTTGACCTTGCCTTTTGGAATGGCGGGCTCTCAGTCTGGCCCACTGCCCTCCCTGGGTCAGCCCTCCCTCTTTGTGTCTCTTGAGAGGAAGCACAGGATATGCCTCTGCATCACCTGCTGCCTCTGCACACTCTAAACAGTGTCACGGTCAGATCCTTTCCTGAAATACGATCCTGGACAAACTCGAAGAACAGACCACTGAGATGTGTGAATGATAAATTTTATAAGGGGTGGGAACACAGTGTAAAGGCACGGTGTGTCATTCCAAAACCGCCCTGACTTTGCTGAGCTGCCCTAGAAGGAAGGCAGTAAGGTGTTTATCTTTCTCTGTAAAGTTTCCTTTACACTAAATAGATCCACTGCAAGGATCCCACACTTGAATGTCTGCAATCACCCTCAGCAAGGGTAAAATTTACATATCAAACATAAGTCACCCTGGAAAACTTGATGCCTCAGGAAATTGGAATGAATAATAAAATGTCTTTACTGTTATGGCAGTTTCCTGGTTAAAATTTAATATTGGTAAGTTAATGACTAATCACTGTTGGTCAATAATGGAATATATAAAGTGGATTTTGTTACTTGAGTGAAGTAACAGCTGTCTTAAAATAACTGTCTTAGAAGCTATTCTAATTACTGTAAGCAATAAGTTACCGATACTTTTTTTTCTACATAATAATGTCTGCATGGAGTTAATGAATGTTGGGCTCAGAAAAGTCATACCCTAGAAGAAGGCCTCAGAAGCAGCCTCAAAAGCAAAGTTTTCCTCTGACCTTCTCCTGCCCTCCAGCTCCCAGCCTTATTCTCTCCCAAGGCAAGCCATGGAAACTTTAATCCCTCTTCCCCAAGGTGGGTCACAGGAACGAGAACCCCCTTCCCCAAAGCCAGCCACGAAGACTAAAATTATACTCTAAACTTCCCCGCCTTCTGTCTTGGAGCTGCCACAAAGAACTGCTCTGCCTACCTTGACGTTGTAGGTCCCAGACCTCCACTCCAGATAGGGTCCTGCCCTTTACGCTGGAGGAACGGATGCTACACAAAGGCCAACAGGATGAACCAACAGGCCTTGCTGTGCTTCCCCACTCAGGGTACAATCAACCCCATTTCTACACGGCTGCCCTGCCTCATGGAAGGTAAGTGCAGAAGTGGACAGTTTTCCCTATGTCTTTGGGTCTTCATTCTGAGGGCTTCTGTGTCCCTTAAGACTATGACCAAATAAATTTGACATGCCTTTTTTCCCTATTAATCTGTTTGTGAGTTAATTTTTCAGAGAGCCTTCAGGAGGTTGAAGGGAACAAGGTCTTCCCTTGGCCCCTGCATAAGCATCCTTAGAGATGGCACCTCATTCAGTTGAGAATTCTGCTTTGGCAGCAGAAGACAGGCTAACAGAGAATAATGCTGGTCCCTATGTAGCCTTTTCAATGAGTCAGGAATAACATTTAATAGGAGTTAATGGAGAAGGTAATATAAATGAAGTTACTTATTCTAAGTAATAGAATAAGTAACTTCTATTAAAGTCTAACACACTTTAATCTTTCTCTGCCTCAATTTTCTTACCTGCAAAATGGGAAGAATGCCTACTTCATAGGTTGTCATGCAGAACTGAGCACCAGGAAGCATTCTCGGATGGTTGATGGCTTTCATTACTATCGCCTTTACTGCTACAGAACCGTAGCTAACGTGAAACAGCTTCACGAGCCTAACTAACCTGTTCAGCAGTCCAGGATCCCTTGAGTGTTTTCAACCGGTGCAGGCAGATCCCTTTGGAGGTCTGTGGGTGAGGGGACAGGCCCCCTCACCCTTTCTTTCTACCCTTGCCAGCATTCAGAAGGCGGAGCAGAGGTAAATTCTGCTAATGCTAAGATCATTACAGCCTCTGACTCTAATTACATGTCAATTAAAAGAGAATTTAAAGTAGTTTGCATTTTCTGAAAAAAACACCCACTTATGTGAAAATGATAAGGACCAGAA